TCTCAATTAAGTGCCATCAAAAATAGTTTCATTTCTTTCTTAAAAAAGCATCAAACCACATGCTTTTACTGACAGAGGGTGGATAATATTGTCTTCATATTAAAAGTGAATCTCCCTCTCTTTTCTTTTTGTTCATTTGTTTTCTTGATGATGAGAGGCAGAGATGAGAGACAACAAGATTGTCTCAGTACACCAGAAATGGTCTTGGTCGGCTTTCCAGTCTTTCTCACAATTTCTGTTCTTTTATATTCAACTGATCTTTTTGCAGTCTTTTCAAATCATGTTTTCTATTGCAGACAGTGACTTATTCATATATTGTTGTTGCTGAATGCTTTCTGTGCAGATTTTTGTCAATTTTCTGTAGACTTTGATTGCTTTTTTTAAGGTTTATTTGAGCAAAAAAAAAATAAAAAATTGGTTCCCTGATTCTATTGTGCTCTAGGGGTGGTGAGAACATTAAAGAGAGGGTAGTATGCAAAATAAACTTTTTTGCGAGCTTTTTTTTTAAGGTTTTAGATGGCATCCATGCATGTTTAGGCAATCTAGCGATTTCCTTACAGTTACCAGCACAATTGTGTTCAATGCTCAGCTCACAAGTCTACAAATTTTCAGTAAATATATAAAAAAGCAGGATACAAACCAAAACACTATATATTTTTTTAACAAATCTCCCACCTTGAAACAATATCACCTTTAAAACTGCTTGGAGTTCATGCAGTATATAAACTCACGTACACACTTTTTTGCAGAAACCACCCCGCGTCCCTGAGTTATGGACTGGTCTATTTCTGACAGGGCTTATTTGCATGTTTCCCTTCTGGCACCCGCCAACGTAAAAGGACATGTCATTTGTCGTCCTTCTCTTTGACACGCTGCTACATGCTACAGTATTTTGGTAACTCACACAACGGAGCCGCTAGCAAAATGTGACTGAAGTCATTGAGCTGTGTACCCAACACAATGCAGACCTCAGGCAGAGTGACGGCCGAGAAATGCATTGGTAAAAATAAATAAATATATATAAATAAAATGGGGGGTAACAATATGGCTATACTGCACTGCCACTGTTACTGGTGTTTCTTTTGTATGATTTATTTATTTATTTTTTTTTTATGTATTTGTTTTAGTTTATGTTCTCTTTCTTATGCCATGTTTATTTATTTATTTATTTTTGCTTTCCGGGTGACGGGAGGCTAAGGGTTGCGCTTTTTGTTAGTTTTTGTTTCCATGTTTATTGTATTGTTTAATTCTATTTGTCCAAAAAATAAGTGTAGTGATGTTTTTGGCTAAAATGCATTCGAAAATACCGGACAGTGTCGTGGAAATATACGGTTGTCAGAACGAATTTTCATCTCTTGATCTTTTTGATCTTGTCATTCTTTACCGACAGTTGATATAAGGTTTGCTGGTGTAAGTTCAGATACGAGTTGCCAAAAATATGTCTAACTTGGGCTGGGCGATATTGCTATAAAAATGATCAAGCACTTTTCAGATTGACGGGTCCAAATTACTCTATTCTTTGATCTCTAATGCATTTTCCTCATCACAAACAGACCTGGAGTTGTGTTTTGTTTCTTTCACACACAAACACACAACACTCAAACCCTGAGAAATCACTCTGTTCCACCTTGTGAGGTCATCTGGTGATACAAAAGTGCTTCATTGTGTTTTTAAACTCCATATACCCTCACTAGAGTTTTTTGGATGATTTCCTGAACAAAAATTAAAAGGTAGCTGTTGAATTGAAAACTGCAGCTTCATCACGTCTCAAGGTAGAACAGATCATTTTGAGCTTTGGAGATGTAGACAATGAAACAAAAAACAACTCCAGGATATGTTTTGGATGAGATGACAACATTATAACATGGCTTAAAGCTCAAAAGAGTTTATTTTGCATTACAGTTGTCCCTTGCTATATCGCGGTTCACCTTTCACAGTCTTGCTGTTTCGCAGATTTTTTTTTGCTTGTTTTTTGTACAGTGTATTGTGTTCCTCCCGCTGCGTCCTGATTGGCTAAGGGACTCTTGTCTCCTGTACAGTACAGAATGCGTTCAGCCAAATTTACATAATGTTGGATTTCTAGCACTGCGATTCTGTGTGTTGTTTATTTCCAAGTTTTCTCCCTGACAAAACCCACAGTGTTGATGAAACGTTCTGCACCGACAAAGGCTCCTGCAGTCGCACCCAAAAAGCAGAGGAAGATGTTAACCATCACACAAAAAGTTGCACTTCTGGACATGCTGAAGGAAAGTAGAAGTTACGCGGCTGTAGCAAAGTCCTGCACCGGGTCGGGTACCCGCAAATAGTTGATAGTCCTAGTTCAGTCCTGGTTTACTCTTCAGTCCTGGAATCAGTCCTAGGATAGTCCTGGGTTAGTCCTGGTTAAGTCTTGGTTCAGTCGGTAGCGTGTGCACCGCAAAAGTTTGATATAATCTCGGATTAACGAGTGGGTGCGAGTCTCCAAATATGGACCCATGCAGGACTCTGCACTGTCGGGCTCCATTACAGAATTAATGAGTCTTCAGTTTGTTACATAAAGGAGCAGGAGAAGGAGGAACGTGAGGACGACAGCAGCAATAAGTTTTAAGAAGGATGCAAAAGGGTCTGAGAAAAGTGTATAAAGTGTGTGGTAAGGGGTTTTACAGTCTTAAAACAGATATAATAATTGTAAAATATAAAGTTGACTATTTCGCAGATTTCACCTTTCGCGGGTTATTTTTAGAACGTAATCCCCGCGATTAATGAGGGACCGCTGTAAATGAGACCTTTAATAATGTATGTATACTCATAAACACAGTCATAATCATCATATTTACAAATGAAATTTCACAGTACCTAACACATCAAGCATAAATCGCTTGCAGACAATATTACTACCCATTTACGCCATATATTGCGGTCTACATCTGCTGAATTGATATGCATTAACACTACAAGCTCCAGCACTTCCCTGCCATCGCCAATGTCTGTGCCCCTAAGTCTCCCCCCCCAAACCCACTTCTCAGATTGTCCATAGAAAAGGTGTTATATTCTGTTTGGGGGCGGTTGAGGCATGCCTTCATTCTCCCTCAATATATTATTCATTTTAATACAGCCACGCCATAAAACCGCGCGTGTGCAGAGGCTAACGCGCCACACAATCTTACCCATCCAGTCGAGGTGAAATAGGAAGTGTGGACCTCGTAATGTAGTACTTAGCCCAGGCTGATATTCCAGTAGCGAAGGGAGATATAGAGAGATATTATACTCCGTAAGTACTAACCAGTAGGGCTGCAAGATATATCGTAATCCAATCCTAATTGCAATTTGTAAGAAGGCAATTAGCGAATCCCAAAGGCTGCAGTTTTTGAAGTAGAATCATTTCCTCCACAAACAACTAAATATAAAAACTGCTAACCCTGTAGTTTAGATAAAAAGGTGTTCTGAAATGTGATTCTTGTATTAGTTTGTCAGTTCATATTTCAGTTTTTAAAATGTGAACTTTGAACTGAATCCAATTATTAAAGGGAGATTTGTGTTTCCTTCACGTTTGAGTAATCTTTATTCTCCCTCATTAAAGATGTCATTGCTTCGATCTAGATTCGTTGTCACCGCCACTGTTCCACGTCCGCTGCTCTGTGCTTACTTTGTTCTCCAATTTTATTTTCTTACATTATGCTATTTCCTGATTATAATGTTGTTTCCTCATCAGAAACATACCTGGAGTTGTGAAAACACTCTGTTCCACCCTGTTATGTCATGTTGTAATACAGGAAGGGCTCCACTGTACTTTTAAACTCTTTACATCTTCACTTGAATCATTTTGATAATTTCAGTCCTGGAATTGCCATTCTCTACTAAATAAAACATAAAAGTAGCTGTTAAATTCAAAATTGCAGCTTCATGACATCACGAGGTGGTGCCCAAAAATAAACTACAAAGAAATATTGTTGTTATTGTTGTTGTTTTTCATTATATGTGTTTTTATTGCGATGAAAAACTGGAAATGTTGTTCCTTTGGCCATAACATCGCATAAAGCTTCATATCTCAATGGAGAATGTTTCGAAGTATGGTTTTAACTGTAAACGTGCATTGTGTAACTTTTTGGTCGGGGGCCCGTCACCTGCTTGTTTCTATGGATGCAGTATTTCATTGCTCTGCCTAGAATGTTCCACATTATGACATTAAACAACTCTACCTTGCATTTATTAAATTACTGGTGGTTTTATAGCTCAAAAATAGCTCAAAAAACAGGCTGACTGAGCAAGGTTGCCTTTCCACAGATCTGACCTGTAGCTTGGTCTGGTTTCACTGGAAAAAAAAAAAAACATCGAACTAAGTTAAAATGACTTAAATTAAGAACATTTTACTTTATTTGAGTAGTTTTAACTTGACAAAGTAAAATTATCTACCAATGGAATAAGTGTGTTTTTCTTAATTCAAGCAACATTTGATTTTGTTTCTTATTTTAAGTGCAGAAATTAGTTGTTTTTCTTATTTTAAGTGAAGTAAGATGTATTGTCATATTTTAAGTACAAAAAGTCTTGTTCCACTGGCAGATAATTTCACTTGTCAAGTGAAATTTACTCAAAGCGTGATAAAACTTTCTTAATTCAAGTCATCTTAACTTGACTAGATTTAGTTTTTTTGCAGTGTTGGTCTCCATGAAGATAGAAAGGTTTAATGCAATACTGTGAAACATTCCAGACAAAACAAAAACAACTCCATGAAGAAAGGCATTTGCCAGACTCTCCTCATAAAAAGTTACACAATGCATCTTTAACTTGGCTTTAACTGTTGACTTTTCACCTCCAGAATATAGTTTTAGATCAATATTGCGTTTATTTAAAACATCCAAAATGCATTTATGATGTCAAAGATTATAACTATAGAATGACAAAGCAGACAAAAGCACAATGCCTTCTTATGCTTGTCAGAAAAATGGCAATTAGACACTTACTGCCCCACTAACCAGTAATGTGTCCTCAGTTCATCTCCTCTTTTTCTCCTCCTTCTTTAGGAATCATCATGACGGCTGTGGCAGATTTGGACCGTGAAACTCAAGATCGCTATGAGCTGGTCGTCAAGGCAACAGACATGGCAGGACAACTGGGCGGGCTCTCCGGCTCCACCACGGTGACCATAGTGATCACGGACGTTAATGATAACCCTCCACGCTTTCCTCAGAGTGAGTTTCTCTATGTGCGCACTATTGGACTCGTATAGAAAATATAAGGGATAAATGGACAGTCAGGGAAGAAATGAACAAAATAGATGATGGAGGAAAGATGGAGTGAGGAAAATAAGGAAGGTAAAAGCCGCTCAAAACATCATTATCTGAGGTGGTTAGTATAGAATTGTACCCAAGAGAGATGGTACTGTAAAATTGTTTCTCGAAAGCCAAAGGAGTCAAAGTAGTTATCAAAATAGCTCTACCTGTATGTACGTATGCAAACAGACAATCAGTAATAGTTCTGGTTTAAAAAAAAAACAAAAAAAACATAATCCTTGGTGTTTAGTGTGTTTAAAAATGTAACTTTTAAAGGGTCCATATACTCTGTTTTCTGATCTATGTTATAATGTTGTTTCGTCATCACAAACTTACCTGGAGTTGTGTTTTTTTTTTGTTTTTTTTGTTTTTTTTTATTTAAGTTTAACACACAAGTCCTTAGTATTAGTATTTAGGTTCTTCTTTCAGTCAGAAGATACTCCGTTCCACATTGTGATGTCATGTGGTAATACATGAAGGGCTCAACTGTATTTTTAAAGGGACAGTCTGGAATTTTGGACATAGGACCTCATTTCCTAGTTAGCCAGAGTGTTGGAGATGTGTGGAGACACTTTTTAAAAATATATTTCATTGGTGCTAGGCTAGTGCATGTCAATGGTCATAGTTATCCTTTCACTAAAAACAGACTTACCCACTCCACAAAGCACTCGAAGCAAATCTATTATTACGCCAGACTGTCAATGTAAATGTCTGTGTTGATAGAATAATGTTTGAAATAAAACTAACCTTGCATCGCATGAATCGTCACATGTTGAGGGACTATTTTCTCAGCAGCAGGGGAATTTTACGTTCAGTCCGCCGCTGCCAAGCTTTCTAACAGGAAGTACAACTCGCTGATGCTGCCCAGATATAAATCCTCAAATGCAAGGTTGGTTTAACTTCTAAAATTATTCTATCAACACAGACATTTACATCGATAAGCTGGTGTTACAATTGTTTTGCTTCAGGTGTTTTGTGGAGTGGGTAAAACTGTTTCTAGTGGCAGGCTAACTATGGCCATTGACATGCACTAGCCTAGCACCGGCGACCTCTGCAAATACAAGGACTGGATGGAATATTTTAAAAAGTGTCTCCACACGTCTCCAACACTCTGGCTCACTAGGAAATGAGGTCCTATGTCCAAAATTCCAGACTGTCCGTTTAAATTCCATACATCTTCACTAGAATAATTTGGATAACTTCAGCCCTGAAATTGCTGATCTTCTACTGAAAGGTAAAAGGTAGCTGTTAACTTGAAAACTACTCCTTCATGACATCACAATGTGGAACAGAGCATTTTGAACTTTGGAGATGTAAAAAGACTAATGGTAAAGGGTTTCTCAAACATGCAGGAATGAAACAACACAACTCCAAATATGTTTTTAATGAGGTAACAGCATTATAACGTAGTTTAAGCTCGCAAATCAATGTTGTGTAACAAAAAGTACCTTTTAAAATATAAAACAATAGAAAAGTAGTAGTAGGAGTAGCAGTAGTAGTAGTAGTAAATAAAAGTTGTAGAAAAAGTAACTGAGTTGAGCCTGGGTTGTTTTATGCAGCACAGAATATCCAGAAATAAATATCTTCTGTACATTTGATAGTTTACAGACTGTTAAACTGTATTTTATCTTATAACACATAGAGAAGCAAATCATTTCTTGTGAACGCTGTTTATAACCCGGGGTCAAAGCCAGAGCCACAAAGGCCAAGCCAGAGAAGAAATGAACAAAGCACAAAGTTGTAACTTGTAGACAACATATAATGAGCGTGGACATCCAAGCAGCCACAAGATGAAAGATGCGCAATATTGTTTTCAACCTGCAGGCCACTGACACCAGTAATTTCACCATTGTGGCATCAACCACTGTAAAGCAACTTCGGCCACAAGTCTCCCCAACTTTAAATTTATCTTACATATCTCTATAACAGCAAACAATAACAAAATAGTCTATCGAAAATGAAGAAGTGGCGCGTTTCAGTGCACAAAAGATCTGTTCTCTTTGGGCACGGCTCCAGAAGAATCAATATGGATGATGGCGGACTCATTGTAATGTTATGGATTCGTCACAGGGTTTTTGAGTTTAATGGTTTTAAGATAGCGCGAGGGAGCTACTTGCTTTCTCAAACAGACAAGAGAGAGGGCATTTATGTGGGTGATATGGGTGCTGGTTCTGCTCTTAAAATCTGGTGCAGTGCCACTTGTAATCTGCAAAAAGGAAAATCTAACCAAGTTAACATGACTTGAATTAAGAAAGTTTTATCATAATTTGAGTAAATTTCACTTGACAAGTAAAATTATCTACCTGTGGAACAAGACTTTTGTATATAATATGCAAATACACCAACAACTCTTTGCACTTAAAATAAGAAACACAATCTAATGATGCTTGAATTAAGAAAAACACATTTATTCCATTTGTAGTTCATTTTACTTGTCAAGTTAAATCTACTCAGATAAACTAAAGTGTTCTTAATTAAAGTATTTTTTTTTTTATTTCTTTCTTTTTGCTGTGTACGACAGTTTGTAAAGCATGAATTACAAAACTAATACTGCTGTTTTTTTTTTTGTTTTTTTACATCTGTGATCATTTCAAATAATTCACTTTCAACTATGATCAAAATAATTGTAGTCATGATTTTATTTTATTTTTATTTTTTTCATGGAACAGCCCAAGTAAACAATATGGCTCAATAGGATGTGAAAGTAACTCAAGACGTCTAACCAAATTCTGTCAGAGAATCAGGAAGTTTCCATTTGCATGCTAGTTGCTGTTAGTTTTACTGTCACAGCTAATGTGGTCTCAGAGAGTTGTGAAAAGCGCCTAGAAGCTCATTGGGGTAAATAATTAGGATGCTCAGAATGCATAGAAATGAGGAATGACTTTGGACCACTGCAAACCTTTAAAAATCAAGTAGCTTTTCACATTTTAAGACAGTAAAAATCAGTGCCTGTATCTTGTAATCATAAACAGATGGCATAACAGATAAAATAAAACATATAAAATACAATGATATGAGCTGAGATAGTCATTCCATCCAAATAGTAACTGTCAGTCTCCAATTTGAGTCATTTATCGAATTTGTGTCAATCATGCTGCTGTTAGCTTGACTATATTTTCATTATTTTACTCTCTAGAAATGGTAAAAATGTTATCTGTCAGCTGTAGGCATAGTTTGGCATTTGGGGTTTGCAAAGAAAGTTTCATAACCATAACATTTATTTTTACATAAAGACAAGTAACATAAAGTGTGTCTACTGTGAGCATAACACGCATGAAATATTACACACAAGTTAGTTTGCCTTGATATTTTTCTCTGAACTGTTTCCTCACGATTTATTAGCAGTTAAATGTTGTGTTTACCTGTTTGGATCATAGTTACAATAAACAATAAATTGATAGCATATTAGATGTTTTTTCATGTATGCGTTGCCATAGCAATTGGCCAATGTCATTTGTCCATGAATCGTCAACAAGAGAAAATATAAATAGCTGTTTTCTTCAAAAAGAACTCTCTAACTAAAGGGGCTTTACCATAGACTGTTTAATGAAGTGGACTGAGGGAGTGTGACGTCGTGCATAGCGTTCATCTCCAGTCAAATGAAGCTCATCGAGGTTGGAAGTTATAGGAGGGAATTTCGTAGCAACCAAGGAGTCAATCTGGAGCCTGCACTGCTGGTTTAGCATGGGCCAGTTGTTAATGACTTTGTAAAATGGTGTGAAGAGTTATATCTTCACCTAAATGTATCCAAAACAAAGGATATGTTTATTGACTTTAAAGAAAAAGTGTGCCTCAGAATAACGTCACGTATATAAAGGGGCAGTCAGTTGAATGTGTAGACTCCTATAAGTATCTTGAAACTCTCTTTGATTCTAATTTGAGCTTTGACAATTATTGTACTGCTATGTTTAAAAAAGGCCACCGATGCCTTCATTGTTTGAGGAAGTTGTCCTTTTACTATGTAGACAACCATAATGACACTGTTCTATAAAACCTTTATGGAATCAGTTTTAACTTTTTCATTGGTCTCATGGTTTAGGAGCATCTCGGCTAAAAACAAGAACTCCGTGTATCAGTTGGTCAAATGGGCGAGTCAGGTGATTGTCCATCCTCAGAGCAGCCTGGACTCCCTGTAATCAAGACAGTTACAGGCCCAGAGTACTCTAAAAGACGTGCAACATTGTACTTATGAATAAACTGTAATCTTTTTATCTGTCAATTTTAGTACGTTGTCTTGAAGAAAATCATGTGTTTTTTTATATATTTAATGTTTGTTGTGATCTTGGCCAAGCGTGATGGATGAATTTTATTAATTATTTATGGAACAAAGCCATTCTGTAACACTTTATTTTGTAATTGTGTTTTTATATGTGTTTATTGTACATAATGTGGATGAATGAAATGTGAAATGTGGGACCAGCCTCTCAAATCTGCAAAACAAATTTACCTAAGGGTACGAATAAAGCAACCTAAACTAACTTAACCTTAGCAGGGAGTTGGCGCTTAGCAACACTGTCAATCAAACCTGTTGCTAACACGAGCGGGAGTCACCTCGGTGAAAGAAGGAAACTGATTTGTCCATTTTTAATGGTCAAATCAGAAACATTTGGCCATTCGCATTTTGAATTTTGATGCAAATTAAGCACTGACTCAAACGGAAGAATCACGGTCCCTTCTCCCAACTAGGCCACCATATGACCAGCACTGCATAAAGACTCAATTTGGAGTTGAATTTGGTAGAATAAGCGAAAAACTTATTCTACCGTAAAACTATGCTATTTTTCCCCATTAGTCATTTCAAAACGCCCTGCCTTTTGGCTCTTAAAACTGACTAAAACCCCAAATTAATATGCTCAATTTACAAAACTAAGCTAATTCCCTAACTAAATAAATGTTTTGCACTAACACATTGCTCTACAATTACCTTAACAAATACACTTTCTTATCATGATAATAGACTTGTTGCGCATTCACATTAGAGCAATTCCCCCAAAGCACCAGAAGTTGTTTTTATCTCAATAAAGCCATTTGCATGATGAATACCTCCGAGCAATTTGTTTGAAAATAAATGGTGTTTTTCCTCCTCAGAGGCGTTTGCCACTTAATTCCATCCTCTTTCTTGGAGTCTTTAAACCATAACACTATTACTTTTGTTGCAGATGGGAGAAGCAGGTTGACAGTTGCCTGATTGTATTTGATATGTCTCCCCACACCTCTGTATTTCTGTTTAAATCCTTTTTCTCATCTCGCCGAATCATATTTACTCCGTCAGTGGGATAAACTAGGTGAAATTAGATTGCAGTGGGGACTTTATAAGATGCAGTCCAAGATGGCGCAGTACGCTTTGATTGGCTTCTGTAATTTTTCTGTAGTTAAGATACAACAGGCATATGGCAGGCTTAGTTGTATTGTCAGTATAGTTATGAAAAATCCTCTTTCATTTGTGCATCTGAAGGATAGTTCTAGAGGCATTAGTGTTGACATTGTTTTTCACATGACTGAAGTTTGTGAGAAGATATAAATATCTGTTTTCAAGAAATGAGAAACTTTATGTGCATATTGCCTGTAAAGTATTTTAAATAGATGTTTGTGTAATTCCTCAGTCATCCAGGTGGGATTCATAGCAAAAGAGAAATTCATCCATCCATTTTCTGCCACTTATCCGGGGGCGGGTCAGGGGGGCAGTAGTCTAAACAGGGACTCACAGACTCCCCTCACCCTGGACACTACCTCCAGCTCCTCCGGGGGGATCCCAAGGCGTTCCCTGGTCAGCCAAGAGACATAATTCCTCCAGCATGTCCTGGGTCTTCCCCGGGGAGACATGCCCGGAACACCTCCTGAGGAGAAGGCATCCAGAACAAATGCCTGAGCCACCTCAGCTGGCTCCTCTCTATGTGGAGGAGAAGCAGCTCTACTCCAAGCTCCTCCCATGTGACTGAGCTCCTCACCCTATTTCTAAGAAAGCGCCCTTGAACTCCTCGACTTGGCGCAGGGACTCTCCACCGACCTGGAGAGGGCAAGCCATCTTTTTCCGGTCGAGAACCATGGCCTTGGATTTGGAGGAGCTGATCTTCATCCCAGCCACTTCAGACTTGACTGCTAACTGCCCCAGTGCACATTGCAGGTCCTGGCCTAATGAAGCCAACAAGACAACATCATCTGCAAACAGCAGAGACAAGATCCTGTGGTCCCCAAACCAGACCCCCTCCCTCCCCTGACTGCGCCTAGAAATTTTGTCCATAAACACAATGAACAGAACCGGTGACAAAGGGCAGCCCTGGCGGAGTCCAACATGCACCGGAAACAGGTCTGACTTACTGCCGGCAATGCGAACACAGCTCCTGCTCCAGTCATACAGGGTCCTGACAGCCCTTGGCAACGGGCCCCGATACCCCATACTCCCGGAGCACCCCCCACAGGACACTACAAGGGACACAGTCGAATGCCTTCTCCAGATCCACAAATCACATGTGGACTGGTTGGGCAAACTCCCATGAACCCTCTATCACCCAATGGAGAATTTAGAGCTGGTCCAGTGTTCCGTGGCCAGGACGAAAACCACACTGCTCCTCCTGGATTTGAGGTTCCACTATCGGTGCTGGTTAGCTATATCCATTTATACAGTTTATGGGCTATACCAAAAGCAGCTCTTGAGGTAGAAATGAGACTGCTCTATGCTGTCTGCATTACAAAGCTTTTTTATTGTTCACAAAACAGGGAGTAATTCTGGTACATCTCTGCAACTCAATGAGTGAATTCGGAAGGTCCTGAGCTTTCACAAGAGACCTACCCTGTCCATATAGTTAAAATGAGAAAAAACTTGTAGCTGTCCTCTATTTACAGGTTAAGGATTCAGTAGTGATTGTAATATTTTTTTTAAGGTTACATATAGTTCCTTTAACATGAACTCCTTGCCTGTTCTTTGACAGAGATGTACCAGTTCACGGTATCAGAGGGAGCAGCTGTGGGCACGCCAGTCGGACAAGTGATGGCTACAGACGCGGACATGGGCGAAAACACGGACATGACCTATCTGATTAAAGAGGGAGGAGATCTCTTCAAGGTCAGCACCAACGTCGAGACCCAGGAAGCAGTGGTCTCCATCAAGAAGGTAAGTCCTAAAACTTTTTTATTGTTTTGGTCGAAGTTTTCCTGACATAAAACCTCCAACATGAATTTTATCTCAGAGCTCATACTTTTCTGGCACCTGTCAAGATCATGCACATTTCACAATCAATCAATAAGTATTTCTGCGAGTTTGGACATTTATCTAACCCATAAAAAAGACCCACTGTTTTTGTAGATTTTCTTTGTACTGTATTGTGGACATTGATGTTTTTGTGATCAATAGTTCGTAGATTATGGAGTCCAGTATTTGGCAGGTGCTGTCAGGATCAGTCTTTAAGGGTTGCACTGGTTCAGCTCCCTGTCACACAATGCACTATTTCTACCGGGAGAGATGGCAACAAGATTAGCATATGCCACAAACAACAACATCCAAGATATTATCATTTCCAGCCATGTTTACCCGCAGATGAGATGTCCAAATTTGCATTGACTATTATTGAATGTTAATTAACTAGATGGTTTGGACACTGACAACTCGGGATGTAACAAAACAGAGATATCGTGATATTGTTTCATCAAAAGTTTCACAGTAATAGCGTTGGCCATCACAATATACAGAATTACAAGTTTCTTTGGTTATATTCATTGTTTTGGTGCAGCAAAAGAGTGTTAGTGTTATGATCTGTGGAATTGTATCGGACGTCTCATCTGCAGGCACTAAAATCGTCCAAAAACAAAGGGAACTACGTAGACCATGATCCTTCCTCCTGCTGTTTCAGTGCAGACTACATGAAGCATGTTATTAAGCACTTTAAAATCTTAATTCAGTACCAAAGGTTTTTTTTTTTTTTTTTTTCCAAAGGCATTTTAAAAGGAAAAAGTAACATATTCACAATTTTCTTAGCCTTCTCAACATATAATAAACATCGTATCGTGAGATGCATATTATGAAAACAGCTTTGGATTTGGATATCATTGCATCACTATTGGAGACTGACAACCAAACAGCTCTAGTGTTTAATTCCTTACAGTCTTTATCCAAGATCGTAGTTAGTAGTGACAAAGACTTCATCCATATCTTTACTTTGTTTTGCATTTAAATCATCTACCTTTGGGAAGGTTTAGGACGGGTACATAGCTGCCATATAGAGTTGTCAAAAGTATTGAAAATCTAATACTGATAGTATTGAAACTAAAAACTCATTTGAGCAGGTTTCTACACTTAAAATAATCACATTTACAGGACAGAAAAAAACATATAGACAAGTATATGTCTGTGGATCACTATGGAACCTATCTGGACAACTAAGAGACATACTAGTATATAAGGCTACATGTTAATATTAAATAAAGTACTATGCATTAATGCTGAAAATTACATTCAATTCGTTTAAAGAATTATGTTTTTATTATAATTTTTGTATCAGAATCTGTATTGAGTATTGAGTCTATTCCATGTATCGTATATATATTTTATATGTTTTGGTGTACTTTTATTTTATTTTATTTTATTTTTTTCCGTAGTATAATCTTGTGTGATTAGGCTAGTCCTGTCTGCTTCAGATTTAATTTCACAAAACAAATACAGCAACCTCAGTGAGTCAGATTTGAATTTCCTTTTTTTCTCTTCTTTCTTGTTTGTATTCATTTGACCTTCAAGGACTTTGTTTGAATGAAGATTGTATAAACAAAAGCTTTTTGTTCATTGTTCAAGTTTGCATATTGTGTTATATAAGTTTCTATAAGTTAATGATTTATGTATATTTGAGCAATGCTGCCTTGTCCTTTATTTTATTGAGTGCTCAGAAAATTTAAGTTTTCACCCTATCCCCTAAATTTGCTGCTTGCTGTGGTGAAATGTTACTTAGAACTTAAACTTTATTGATCCACAAGGGAAATTCTTTGGAAAACATTAGCTCATGCATCACAATATAATATAATAGCAAAGAGCAAAAATATAAATGGTAATAATACATTTCATACATAGCAAGACACTGGTTGGTGGTGGTAAGGCATACAGTGTATATGTATATTAAAATTAAGCTCTAATATATAAAAGCATACCATGTCTCCTTCAGAAAGTTCAGGAAGATCTGAATAGCTGGATTTTTTTTTTTTTTTTTTTTTTACACAATCTTTTTAAATTTTTTAATTATGCAACCTTCTTTGCAACTTGAGCACTTAACTAAATTGTTTAAATGGGACACTATGAATATAATGTTCTCAATTATATGATGTACATTTTCAATAAAAGTTAAAAGCCTGATAAAAGCTGACACATTTAACTCTTACTTAATTCAGCTCCATGTCTTTCATGGTAAATGGTCATATTTTTATATAGCACTTTTCCAACTTTGAGGGACTCAAAGTGCTTTACATCAAGGAAGCACTCAGCCATTCACACACACACACACACATTCATACTCAGACACTGGGGCTGAGGTAGGTTGTGTCTTGCCCAAGGACACAATGACAGCATTCATCTGTGGGAGCTGGAATCGTATCGCCAATCTGTTGGTCAGTGGATTAGAATGGTCAACCAGTGAAGTTGAGAACAGTATGATGAACTGTAAACTGTCATCTCTATGTTTTTAAATTTTTTTTATATATATATGTTGTTTACTCATCACAAACCAAAGTTGTGTTTTGTTTCATTCACACATGTTTTGACACACAAACTCGGCATATTTAGGCTGAATTTCTGTTTCTCTCAAACAGAAAACACTCTATTCCACCTTATGATCTCATGTGGTTATGCAAGATGTGCTCCACTGTGTTTTTAAACTCCATAAATCTTCGCCAGAATCATTTGGATAATTTCAGCCCTGGAACTGCCTATCTCTGTTGAACTAAAGATAAGAAGTAGCTGTTAACATGAAAACTACCCCTTCATGACATCACAAGGTGGGACAGAGCATTTTGAGCTTGGAGATGTAGACAGACTAAAAAGGGTTACTCAAAACATATGTGAATGAAACAAAACACAACTTGAGGTATGTTTTTGATGAGAAAACAACATTCTCTCATGGCTCTAATGAAGCTCACAAGAGTAAATTTTTTGCATTATATAAGACCTTTAATAAATCCTCTTTGACTTTTCAGCCTCTGGACTTCGAGACCAAGCGCACACACAATGTGGTGGTGGAGGCGGTGAACAAGCACGTGGACCCTCGCTTCGTAGACCTGGGCTCGTTCAGGGACCAGACCATCGTGAGAGTGAGCGTGACGGACATCGATGAGCCTCCTATGTTCCAGCCAGCAGAGGGCACTGTGCTGGAGGTGCAGGAGGACGCCAAAGTGGGGGCGCTGGTGGGCGTGGTCACCGCACGAGACCCGGACATCACGAACAAGCCTGTCAGGTAGGATCAGCTCATTTTTGGGGGGCTGTGAGTTTATCTGTATGAGCTCATAATTGTTAAGGACATTTAAACTACAAGTCAAAAGTTTGGACGGACCTTTTCATGTCTGTGTTTTCTTTCTTTCTTTTTTTTTTTTTTTCCATGATTATTATTTACATTGTAGTTTCTCACTGAAGACATCAAAACTGTGAATGAACACATAGAGTGTAGTAAACAAAGAATAAATCCCAATCACTTTAAACTTGTTTTAGATTCAAATAAATATAAGAGTTTGTTTTTTTTCTTTGCTTCATAACTACATGTCTTACTTTATATATTCGATGTCTTCTGTGTGCATATAAAATGTAGAAAGTAGTAAAAAAATATATATTAAAAATACTGAATGAGGAGGTGTGTCTAAATTTTTTACAGGCAGTGTAAGTTATAACTAAAACTAAAATATTTTCTTCATTTCTTGAGAATTATAGCAATATTCAGCAACCCGTAATGACATAGTAATACTTGTATGTTTTACTTGTTGTGTTCTTTGATTTAATTTATATTTTAAAGTTGTTTTTGTCAAAGATTCAATTGGACACTTTGTAAATTCTTATATGTTTGGTTTAAAAAAAAAATAATCTGTACACCCTTTATATAAAAAGCACAAATATACTAGATACTTCTATTTTATATGTTATGTATAAAGGGCAGTAAAATGTAAAAAAATAAAATAAAATTGACGGTTTGTACATGAATCACAACACTCTAGGAGTTTGTACATTTTTTTTTTGCACTGGTGAGGCCTCAAATGAAAAGAGCTTTTTTCTTTCAAACTATCTTCAGGTCAAAGTCAAATCAAAAAACCATAAAAACCGAAACTACACAGCCCACCTTTCCTCCCGGTCTGTTTGTGATAACCACATGTATATCCTGTGTTCATCTCGTGCACCGGCCCGAAAAGAGATGTGTCCTCAGAGAGACGGAGAGAGAGGAGGAGAGAGAGGAGGAGAAAGAGGGACAGAGAGAGAGAGAGAGAGAGAGAGAGAGAGAGTTTGGAGGGGAGAGTTAGAGTATGTTAATGAGAGAGTAGGGAGGCAGATTGTATTGAGAGAGAAAGAGAAGAGAAAAGAGAGATAGAGTATGTGAATGAGAGAGGGTGAAAGATAGAGAGAGGGTGAAAGATAGAGAGAGTGTGGAGGCAGGTTGTACTGAAGAAGAGAGAGAGACAGAGGGAGAGAGAGAAAGAGTAGCGTGTGAATGTGAAAGAGAGAGAGAGATTAATTGAATAAAAGAGAAGGGAGGCAGAATGTATTGAAATAGAGAGAGCGAGAGAGAAAGGAGAAGAGAGAGGAAAGAAGAAAGCGAAGAGAGGAGAAAAGAGAGAGAGTATGTGAATGAGAGGAGAAAAGCTAGGGAGAGAGAGGAGGTAGATTGTATTGAGAGAGAAAGAGGAGAGAAAATAGAGAGTGTGAATGAGAGAGAGTGAGTATGTGAATGAGAGAGGGTGAAAGATATCGGGAGAGAGAGAGGAGGCAAATTGTGTTGAAAGAGAGAGAGGAAAGAGAGAGCTAGAGAGTATATGAATGAGAGAGAGAGTGAGTATGTGAATGAGAGAGGGGGAAGAGTGAGTAGGGACACAGATTGTATTCAGAGAGAGAGAGAAAGAGGAGAGGAGAGAAGACAATGGAAAGAAGAAAGTAAAGATAGAAGAGAGTATGTGAATGAGAGAGAAAGGGATAGGGAGGCAGATTGCATTGAAAGAGAGATAGAGCGAGAGAAAGAAAAGAGAGGAGAAGAGAGAGGGAAGAAGAAAGCAAAGATAGAGGAGAGAGAGTGTGTGAATGAGAGAGGAAAAGATAGGGAGAAAGAGAGTATGAGAGGAAAAGATAGATAGAGAGAAAGAGAGAGAGAGTAGAGTAGATAAGGGCCTGTGTATGGTCCCCCTGCCTGAGCGTACTCCGACACACAGCCCCCGCCGCAAATGTCCCACATTAAACATGCATGAGGCTCACAGCTGCAGGTGTAATAAACTACAGTCTATGGCAGCACTGTCCCTCACTGTTAGAGCCGCCTGCAGCCCAGAGCACGGGACAGGGCCAGGTGTGTGTGTGCATGTGTGTGTGTGGTACAAATGGGAGCATAGGTTTAGGTGGAGGAGAGAAAACCCAACATATAATCTAAAACTGCTTAAAGACCACATATGATGCCATTTTTGATCTGTGTTGTAATGTTTCCTCGTCACAAACATACCTGGAGTTGTGTTGTGTTTTGTTTCAGTCATACATGTATAACACTCAGACCCTGCATATTTAGGCTGTGCTCTTCTCTCAAACAGAAAACACTCTCGTCCACCTTGTGCTCCACTGTCTTTTTAAACTCCGTACACTTTCACTAGAATCATTTGGATCATTTCATCTCTGGAACTGTCAATCACTGCTGAACTAAAGGTAAATGGTAGTTGTTAACTTGAAAATCAACCGATTTATGACATCACCAGGTGGAACAGAGCATTTTGAGCTTTGGAGATGTACAGATTATTGCCTTTTTTTACGGACTATAATGGCACTTTTTCATGGTTTGGATGGTTCTGTGATGTATACTCTGGTGCAACTTATATATTAAAATTTTACTACTCCTATTACTCCTGTACCACTGTCACTTCACTCTACTGCGCATGTCTCCTGCAGAAAGAGCCGCTGTCCTGTCTGTATCATGTCAGCCGATTGCACCATTACTTCTGTACCACTGAAAGTTTTAAATTTAAACAAACATAAAGACAACCGAAACCATCCTGTTGGGATTCAAAAAGGCCAGAATAATTGTAACTGAAACTGATGCTGAATCTGACAACAGCTACACAAAAGAGGAAGTGGTGCTCTGTTTACCTCCGGAAGTCGCGCAGTTGCTCAGAAGTGACACAGAGGATGAAGAATTCAATGGATTTAGTGATTTGGAGTGAGATGGAGAGTTTGGTAAATTTCTTATGTTGTTTATGCTTTAGTTATCTGAAGAACTGTTCATATGTGATGTTAACAGCCTGTTGTTCTCTGGTCTATTGTTATTACTATAACTTGTCTTTCAAGATGAAATGTTGGTTCCTAGTCTCTGATTTTATATACATTTATATTAATATCTACATAGAAACATAATAATAAAAGTGTGACTTATAGTCCGGTGCGACTTAGGCTATTTTTTTTCTTCTTCATTGTGATTTATCCTCCAGAGTGACTTATAGTCCAAAAATTACGGTACTAAAGAATTACTCAAACATGAAACAAAACTCCAGGTATGTTTTTGAGAAATTAACAAACACTCTACTCAAACATGTGTGACTGAAACAAAACACAACTCCAGGTATGTTTTTGATGACCTAACACTATTGTACTATGGCTTTAAAGTAACAAAAGTCAATTTTCTGTAATATAGAACCTTTAAGTATTTACTGTACTAACGACTAGTCTAAGGCCCCTCTATGTTTAAATATGTGGCCCTTGATGAGAAAAGTGTGGACACCCTTGAAATAAGAAGGAATATTGCAGATTACTTTACTTAATTACCAGTAATTTTGGTGTTTTCTGCCAATTCAAGTGTGATTTCAAACAGCCCCAAAAATCCCAGAATGAACAGTTATTGCTTTTGAAAGCGTAGAGAGGAAAATTAAGAGCAGCTTGAACATAACTAGCAGGCACGCTAACAGTTATAATTCACATGTCATGCTAACTTGATTTTAACTGCCCAAAACACTAACGGACCGTGATTACTGATTTCACCTTGAATTTTAGCAAAAGTCCTCTGCAATATTTAGCAACGATTATCATGAACTTTCCAACCCCTTTTCTAAGTGTTTGGCTACACTGCAAAAAGCGATATCGGGCTAAGTTAAAATGACTTCAATTAAGAATATTTGACTTTATTTGAGTTGATTCAACTTGACAATTAAAATTATTTACCAAGGGACTAAGTGTTTTTTTCTTAATTCAAGCAACATTCGATTTAGTTTCTTATTTTGAGTGCATAGAGTTGTTGTTTTTCTTATCTTAAAAGTCCCTTGTGTAACTTTTCTGGTAGTAGTCTGCTTGTTTCTATGGAGATGTCATTGCTGTCCCTCAAATGTTCCACAGTATCACATTAAACAGCTTACATTTATTCAATTACACGTGGTTTTATAGCTCAAAAATATCTAACAAGCACTCTGTCTGTGAGCGGGGTCGCCTCTCCGTAGATCAGACCTGTGACTTAGTCTGGTTTGGTCACCATGAAGATAGAAAGGTCCAGACAAAGCAACAACATCTCCATGGAGAAAAACATTTCATGGATTCTCCACCAGAAAATTTACTCAACGCAACTTTTAAGTGTAGTGAACGTGTTCTGTTGGTAGATAATTTTACTTGTTATGTCAAATTAACTCAAGTCATGATAAAAATGTCTTAATTCAAGTCATTTTAACTCGACTAGACTTTCGTTTTTGCAGTGCAGCGCGCATGGTCACCCCTTATACGAGCGACAACACAAAGCAGATGGAATCAAAAATAAAAAATGCCGTAAAAGTGATTTGTAGTATATGAAAGATTTGCCCAGCTAAAACCGATTTTTTGGCAGCCATCTTGACGCACTTGTCAAAAATATCCTCCTCTATACAGAGAGTGGGATTATTGTCACTTTTAGAGGACACTTTCACGACTGCACTGCAATGATGTGGATAGCTGTACCATCTGTGCATATACAAGCTAATATTTTGTCTAGCAGTCGTGTTTAAAATTGGAGATTAAATGGGGAAGGAACAGCGCTGGGTTTATCTGCGAAAAATTGTTAAGGGACTGAAAAATCCCAATTCACAATATAGTGTCCTGGAATAAAATGACACTTGCGAAAGCCCCAAATGTAACAATAAATAATGATTCAATGTTTGTATTGATGCGTGTGTCAATATGGAGTTTAAATGCAATCCAACACAATATATGGGGTCGGCCCATGTGGGACACTCACTGAATAGTGCAAATGCTGCTGTGCACAAGGAATTCTCTCTCTTTTTATCCAGAATACTGCTGAAAGATTGAAAAATACAAATAAAAATATCCTGAATTACTTAATGACCTGCATTTGTAGTAATAGTTAGTACTCAGTGTTGGTTTATACTGCAGGGTTCCCACAGTCATGGATATCCTGTTCAAAATCATGGAAACTGAAAATATATTTTTTTCTGGGCTTTGAAAAGTCATAGAATTTCATAAATTCAATGAAAATTTTGGAAAACTCATGAAATTTTGGTAGCTCTTTGACATAACTACAGCCTTCTGTTAATAATTAGGCTATTATGATTATCTCCGAACCTATGCGCCATTTGTTTAAAAGAGACGACAATAAATGCACTGACAGTATTTTGAATGTTAAAAAACTATATTACTAAAGACTTAACATTTAATTAAAAAAAAAAAAAAAAAAAAAAAAAAAGGTTTCAAAAGGAGCACTTCCTGGACCTCCAGAGGATAATACACAGTAGATCCAACTCAGTGGTGCTCTTTAGGGAAGGGAAGTCATTCATTCAAGTCATTTCATATTTAGCCCTAAAAGTATGCTCAATTCTACACATATAGGTGCCGTAAAGTCTTGGAAAATTCACTTTAGCTCATGAAAAAGTCATAGAAAAGTTTTTGAAATTTTGTCAGTGAAAAAGAGTGGGAACCCTAATACTGAGACTATGGTGGCACAAGCAATCCTTATGTAAGACATTTACAATATATACCTTCAAAATTGCCTCTTGTAAAAAAAAATAAATAAATAAATAAATAATAATAATATAATGATATAATGATAATAATATGATGATAATAATAATAATAATAATAATAATAAATAATAAAATAAACAAACAACAAACAAAAAAACACTGATACAGATTAGAAGCATAGTAAAGTATCATCATTTTTATTACATTTTTTCTGCTTAATTTTAGACTATAGTGGCAAAAAATTTGACTATGGGGGCCTACCTTAGTCTCTTCTATGGTAAACACTGGACTATTTAATTGCAAAAGCTGTAGTTTATAGTGAGCTAGGCTTTGGAGACGAGGATGGCAATTATTTTGGGAGAAAAACGTGATACTTCTGATCTCTGTTGCGATACAAAACAAAGAAACATATTTTTATCTATTTTTGCACAGATAGGCAACAGTAGACAACACAGAGCTTTGTGCCACAAAAAAACAAAAAAAAAAAAACACAATGGGCATCATCATAACATGTTTTATTACTATTATTACTTTTATTATTATTATTGTAGTGCAGGATTTTATTTAGTTTATGCATCATTCCAATGGGTACACACACTCCACACTCTCAGTTTGAACCATTTTAAACAGATCTAAGCCGTAGTCATATCTCTCTTTGATTAGTTTGTTGTTTAAAAGAGTTCTCAAGTTGGCTTCTGTCATAAACAACAAATATAAAAAGAGACAGTCTTTTGAACAGCTCCTAAAGATTCAAATCCTATAAAAGAGCCGAAAAGTCCCATCACTATGAACTAGTACTTTTATTTAAGTGGGTTATTGAAAAGCATAGATAACTCCACAAACCTGATATAATATAGAAAATGAATAACTCAACATACTATTTGATTATCTGAACGGTATCCTCTAACAGTACAAGAACTTCCTCTTCATTGAATAAAATCCGTAGGGAACCTATATCTCAATCTTTACAAATCAGAATCCAACTAGACGGTGCACTTGATAACAAAAATCTTTCCCTGGGCAACTGGGTCGACGATGGCTGGAACAAAAGCGTTGCAGATATAAGACAGTACTATAGTCTCTGTGGGATACGAGACTAGCTTTACTCTGCTTTAACAATGTAGCCTACCAAATACATGGAAAGACTTAAATCCAATGTCATCCTCCCCACTTTAGCACAGCCCCCCTGACAATACTGCACGTTTTATACACAACATGTCACTGTCTCTGGAGATCTGGGTTTACTATCAAAGACATATGATATTATAATACCCATGGGTCTTTATTAAAACATACCATGAGGCCGTGAATGAGACATCCATCGTATTCTAATATCCGGGCTTTGCTTCTGAGATGGAACAAAAGGAAGAACAAATCAAGCTTTCAGTATGTTTCTATGTTGTTTTGACAGCGACAACTAACCATAATAATAGGAGATGCATTAGTGAGTGCTGGAAGTGTAAATACATAATAGTAAGTGACACATTCAATAGCTATTAGTGTCATTTTCAAAGGATTTTGACATTAAGATATCACTATGAATAGGCTATGCAGATTACAGATTTCAATGTTAAAATCAGTAATTATGTTGTACTAGAGATGTTAACAGAATTCTTCAAAAAAGGAAAATAAATAAATAAACTGTCCAAAGTTGTCCTTTATTTTTTGAATAACATCCATCCATTTTATTTCATTTTATTTATTTTTTTGCTTTATTCAGAGCCAGGTTGTGCAGGCATCAGTCTAAGCAGGGATGCCCAGTATTTCCTTTCCACACACACTTCCTCCAGCTCTTCCAGAGGGATCCTGGGACGTTCCCAAGCCAGCCCGAGACACAGTCAGTGTGTCCTGGGTCTTCTCCGGGGCCTCCTGCTGGTGGGACATGCCCAGAACCAGATGCCCAGAACCTTAGCTACTCCTCTCTACATGGAGGAGCAGTGGCTCTACTCTGAGCTCCTCTTCTGTGAGCTGAGGGCGGCATGGTGGCTGAGTGGCTAGCATTGATGTCTCACAGCAAGAAGGTTCCGGGCCTTTCTGTGTCAATTAAATACAATCAATCAATTAACCTGCCCAGGGACGACAGGTGGAAATTAACACTGGTGCTACAACCTGGTACAATGCATCTCTCTTGATAAAGTTAATGTATATTGTGCACTGTCCCTGTCTCATAAAATAAATAAAATAAACTAAGCTTCTCAACCTATTCACCCTATCTCTAAGGGAACGCCAAATCACTCTATGGAGACCGCTCACCATTACCCAAAGCTCATGACCATAGATGAGAGTAGGAACGTAGATTGAACAGTAAATCGAGAGGTTTGTCTTTGGACTCAACTTTTTCACCACAACAGTCCAATACAGCGACCGCATCACTGCAGACGATCCACCTGTCAATCTCACGCTCCATCCTTCCCTCACTCGTGAACAAGATCCCTACTTGAACTCCTGCACTTGAGGCGGAGATTCTCCAACGATATGATATTCCAGTGACAAACAGATTTGAAAGTCTCCCACCTCCTCTTATTCTACTGATGTACTGGACTAGTCTGATGTATGACACTGCCCTGCTTTGTACTGTTGCTCTTTGTGCTGTATGTTCTGTATGTTGGTGACAGAACATAGGCTCCCACAGAAAATGTTCATGTGTGTTTGTAGTTCACAGAACCTCTCTGCCTCTCTGTCACTTTCATATGACATCCTGCTGAGCCCATATGTGGAAGCTTAGAGGGCTTTCTTAGTAAATATTCATTTTCATGTAAATTAAATGTAAATGAGTGTCATGGTGTAAATCATACATGAATCCGATGTCTTTAAAAGTTACATTTTCAAATAAACATGATTGACGCTTCGTGATCTACTGCTAATTTCATAACATGGATAATTGGAAGATGAAAAAAACTAAAACAAAACAATAATTGTAAACTAAATTGAAATTGAGTCTTGGGGCTATATAACCTTTTTTAATGAACCAATAGATGTTTTCACGGTGACATTACTACATCATTAATTAGTATTGTGTTTGTGACCTACACTCTCGCCCTTCTCTCCACAGGTTTTCCATTGATCGGACCACAGACCAGGAGATGATCTTTCACATAGATCCGGACACAGGTGCCCTCACGCTGGGCAAGATCCTGGACCGGGAGACCGCCGGCTGGCATAACATCACAGTCAAAGCGGTGGAAGCAGGTACTGGCTTAAAGATAGTTTTCAGTGTGTTTGTGCAAGAGGGAAGTGGGCACAGTTGTACGGAATAGCAAACCCAAGTGAGTAGAAGTATTTTTTCTTCAAAGTAAACGGTGGTAAAGTGGACAGTTGTTGTTGCCTCAGCGAAAAAGGTCATGGGTCAATGTTTAAAGCTACTGGTGAACTTTTGTCTATTTTTGGTGGAATCATAAAACTTTTACAGTGGGTTTGCTTATGACTGAAGCTAAAAATGGTGAGAACTGTACTGCAGGCAATCACTGGTCCTGATGTTGCTGTAGATTATTTCACAAATTGTAATATTTTAGAAAAAAAAAAAAAAAAAAGTTCTGCACTGTTTTTATTTCAGGCCAACAAACACAAACAAACAAAACTAAAGGTTTTAAAGGTAGTCATCCAGACAATGTTTTGAAATGGTTTGTGATGGTCCAGTTGGTTAGTTATTCCTCTCTGACCTTATGCATTCTGAGCATCTTAATTATGCTTATGCTTAATTAAAAAGTTTGTAAGGATTTGTCAGTAGAGCTAACAACAACCAGCATGCTGATGTGCTCTTCCTAATTATTGGACAGTACAGCTATTTATAATTGATGCAGACAGTACACAGTTATTTTGACACTAGAAGCTGCTTTTGCAATATGGCTGTACTGGGGCAAGAAGTTTTTGCTCAAATACATGAAATTTGGTACGGGACCATTAACGAAGCTTTAAACTTTTCTTGGTGGAGGGTCCGTCAAATGCTTTTTTTTTCCATGGGGATGTTATTGCTTTGTCTGGAATGTTCCACAATATGGCATTAAACCTGATTTTCATGGAGACCAAACCAGAACAAGTTACAGGTCACATCTATGAAAAGGCAACCTCGCTCACAGTCAGAATGCCGGTATTTTTTGAGCTATAAAACCACCTATAATTTAATAAATGTAAAGTAGAGCTGTTTAATGTCATACTGTGGAACATTCAAGGACATATCCATAGAAACAAGCAGGTGACGGACCCCCAACCAAAAGGTACAAAGTGCACCTTTAAGACCAATGAGCTACTCTTGAAGAATCCCTAAATGTTTCAAATCGACTGTCTGATTTTGGAGTAAAACTGAGCTGGAGTAAGTTTGTCTAGATGCCCTGCCAGTTATCTCTCCAACATGTGCGACTCCCACCAGGATCCACGAGGGGTAACAGGCACTCTCACACGTTCTGATCATTAGCGGGAGAAGATTTTGACACTTTCACAGCCACCAGCGTCGCAGTTTTTAAGAGAGACGCGCCAAGAAACAGGGGGAAAAAGACTTCATACAAACAAGTGAATAGTCTGAGGATAAGAGTGGAGCCTATAATAGATGATGACAAAACAACGCAATGGTGAAGTGGTGGAAATTGCGTTATGGCACTGCAAGAAAAACAAAACAAATCTGAGGTTTAGCAAATCATAACATTTTAAGTGTAAGAAAATCCAACATCTGAAATTTAGAAAAAAGCTTTTGGCAAATGTTTTCATATCAGTGGAAATTATACATCTACAGCGCCTGGGATCAAGAAGGCACACTTAACGTATTCACAAAGAGGGGTGAAGTGTCTTGCCCAAGGACACCATAATAGTGAGAAATGCCAGTGCATTTTAAGTGCAAGAAAATCCAACATCTGAATTTTTTTTTAAAACTTTTGCAAATAACTGTTTTCATATCTGTGGAAATTATCTACAGCACCTGGATTCAAAAAGGTGCACTTAATGTATTCACAAAGTGTCTTGCCCAAGGGCTTTTTTTGATTAATTCCTTGAACAACAATTTTCAATCTGAATGTACTGCTATGAGGAGCTACAGTTTATACCACCTTATCGTACGTGGGCAGCATTTGACCACCTAGTGCTTCCACTCAATTTCATTTCTCTTCAGTGACTAGGTCCAAAATCGGAATACACTTGACAGTTTGCAAGAACCCTGGAAGTAGAAGACCACGAACCGGCCAATCAGTGAAGAGCTGTGAAGCCGGCAATTACTTGGACACCACCGAGCATTCCGGCGCATTACGTACGTTTCGACCAAATGGCAGCGATTGGTTAAATAAATAAAGTTCCCACCTACCCTCGAGCGAACAAATCCTAATGCTGCGAGGTCAGACAGTTTCCACGACTGGTAAATCAGGCTAATAGATGAATGAATCAGGTTAATAGACTATAGTTTAACCTACCATTTCTGTTCAAAGGAGGATTGTCTTTTTTGTTGATTTAAACTCTTTGATTGAATCATAATCTCAATAAGCCTAGATGTGTGTGTGTGTGTTTGTTTGTTTGTCAGTCCCTCAGTGTAATTTCACTTGGCTTTGATTATTAAAGGGAAAAAAAATATTATTGCCATTGTCAGTGCACAAAATTTACAGTCTATGAACTTGCTTCGGTGTTGTGGTTGTATAACAATATTAAAAATAAGCTTTGATAGGTGCACCGCGTAACTTTTCAGGTAGCGGTTCTGCCATCTGTTTGTCTCCATAAAGATGTTATTTCTCCACAGTACAGCATCAAAACAGTGGTTGGTGCCACCAGAGCAAGTTGTTATTGTTCAGATCTGTATAGAGCATGCTCATACACAGTGAAGATGCATGTTTTCAAAGTATTTTTGACCAACAGAAACACTTGTAATGGAGAAAAAAAAAAAAAAACCTTACAATCCGTAATGTATTACCGTATATCAGAGGTGGGGACTTGCAAGTCATGACTTGGACTCGAGTCAGACTTGAGTCACTGTTTTTGGGACTTGAAACTTGACTTGATAAAATAGACAAAGACTTGGGACTCGACTTGGATTTGAGGCCTGTGACTTGAGAAGACTTGATGCTTAGACTAGTTGACAAATTCACTGTTATTAAGCACTCTTAAAGCTTAACTCTTTCTCTTCTGACCGTAATAATTTGCACTCTTGTCAAGACATTTTAAAAGGAAAAATACGCATTTCTATGACTCTTAGATAAATACTCATATATAAATATACCATGATTTTTTAAGTACAAGTTAGTTTAAAAATAATATAAATTGCAAAAATCTAAGCTATATTTGGTAGTTTGGTTTAAAGACTTTAAATGACTTGAAGCTCAAAGCAGATTACTTGGACTTGACTTGGACTTATGGGCCATTGACTTGAGACTCGACTTGGACTTGCCTGTATTTGACTTGGGACATGACTCGGACTTAAGGTCAAAGACTTGAGACTTACTTGAGACTTGCAAAAGAACTACTTGGTTCCACCTCTATCGTATATTTCAAGCAAGCAATAACATCTCCATGGAGACAAGCAGGTGGTGGACCCTCCTCCAAAAAGTTACATAGTTCACCTTTTAAACTATGATAAAAATAAAAAAAGAAAGTTAAAAATAGACTTTGACTGAATATATAGATAAGATATTGCTGCTTTCCTGCAACAAACATGGCGTACCCATTCATAATGCCTTTCCCCAAATCGAACTTTTTCAGGTGCATATAATATTAATATATCTTTTAGCCATCCATCTTTTTGCTAATAACCCATCCAGGACATATATGGTCATTTCACCATCTCTTCCATTTTCCGTACCTCATGCGTAGATATTACATAAATCATTTGTGACTGGTCTTGAAACTGACACATGAGTGAAACTAGTGGAGACAGATTTTGCATTATCCAACGTTTTTGTCCCTTTTTGCCACTGCACAGAAAATGAACAATGTAATAACTTGCTGAACCCACAGAGTTATTACAATACTATTAGAAGTAAATGGGAGAAAGAGGAGAGAAGCTTAGTATAGCATCTTTCTTCTTCTCTATGTTTTTTGTAGTTTTGTTCGCGTGAAATCATTTCGGGGATTGCAAGTTTGAACGATGGCGTATTTGCGTATAGCGACTGAAAATAGCAAAACAATAAAGATTCAAAACAGTCTCATTTTGGCACTTATAGCCTTGTTGGTCGGTGATTGCTTCGAGAACTCAACGCGATATTAAGTACAAATTGACTTCCTTTTTAAAGCTGAAATTCCCATAGCAGTTTCGCTGGCTTTTGTACGCAGGCTCCTTTGTGCTTATGTCATAGGCGTATTTTCATGTTAATTGCGCATTTCCAGCCGCCCTACCCCTCTCTCGTATCTGACTTAAACACCCGCCTGCTGTTGCCAGATAAGACCTTGTAAAGTGTAACATCCGTGCTGGCTAAATGAGCGGTCATCAAAACTTCCATCCTGAATTGTTTGTTTGGTGAATGAGAAGTAATATTGGAATTAAATGGCGTATTTTACAAAGGTGGGTGGCAAACCCGTGAAAAGACAGAGCTTATTTTGTCGCATTGTTTGCGCTCATCAAGGAAAGGGAGGTCACAGCAGCTGAGGACGCTGTTAAACTGGAAGCTAAGTGGCGCGATCTTTAATTATTCCCCCAGTCCATTACTGACCTTTGAACCATTGTAATACTGTTGGGCGAGTGACAGCAGCTTTCTGAAGCCTTCCCCGGAGATTAACCTCAGCTACAAGAACGCGAGGGAAAAATGAGAGAGTGTCAAATGACCGATCGCATTAGAGAAGATTAAGTACAATGTGGTGTTATGATATACACAAGAACAGGACATAATATACAGACACTTTTAAAGTGCTATGTTACTTTTCTGGTGAAGAATCTGTCACCTCCTTGTCTTCATGGGGATTTTTTTTTTTCTGGAATGTTCAACAGTAACGAGACGACAGTAGCTCAGTTCGGTAGCGTTTGTCTTCTGATCTGAAAGTTGGCGGTTTGAATCCCGCTCTTGACCTAAATATTATTGGTTGAGCGTTTAGAACCAACAGGATAGGAGTGTGATTCCACTCCTCCAGATGAATGCTGTCATTGTGTCCTTGGGCAAGACACTTAACAAACCTCGCTCCTAGTGTCATGGTTCCTTGATGTAAAGACCTTAAGCATTAAAATTATATATCTCCATGAAGACAAGCAAGTGGCACAACCAGACCAAGTTACAGGTCAGATCTGCGGA